GGTGCATTGTCTCAAAAACTGCTTTGTGACAATAAGCTGATATGTAGTTTCTCCAGTTACGAGAGAGAGGCATACTGTATGGTAATGTAATTCTCTGAGGACAGAGTGATAAATCAGTAAGAAAGTGACACATTATTCATTTTACATTAACTATCACTCACTTTAGGCCCATGTGGAGATCGGTTATCCACTCCAAGTCTTGTACATGATATTCTTCACTTTTTTTTATACTTATTGAAAACACTTATGCATAAATGGACCCACACAGTTCAAACCCGTGTTGTTCAAGGGCCGGCTGTTCTGCCTGGTGGCTCGCTGAGACCCCACATTTGTCCCCAGGCCATCCTGACCTGGGAACCAGGTCCCACTTGTGCGGGACGCTACGGTGCTGTGCCTTCTGTGAGTGCTGCTTTCATGTAGCTAAGTCACTTCTGTAGTTGTACACTGCATCATTAAAGCATTAAAGGTGTGACATAGAGAGCAATCAATGTGATTCCATTAGAACAAAGCGAACTAAATTATATGCTGTGCCCGTCTTAGAGAAGTTTCATTATTTTGTGGTGAGAAAAGACAAAGAACTAAACTTTTAGTTTTATTCTAACCTTAACTCATGCCCAATGCTAGTGTTCATCGAAGCATTACTTGTGACTGCCACAAATAATGGCTCAGGGGGTGGAAGATGCACATACAGCCAGCTGTAAAGGATGCTGCCGTCCTCACTTCAGCACCTCAGCATGTGGACACCCCTTTTCTTGAAACACTCACCTGTCTTTGCTTCTATGACTGGACCCTCCTGGTTCCTCCTCTACCTCTCTAAGTTTTTCCTCTCTGATTTAGATTCATCCATCCATTCCCTAAATGTGCACTGCACTTACCAAAGCTTTGTTATGGTAGCATTTCTCTTTTCTCTCTGTATTCTCACACTTAGCAATTTCTTTTGATATCATGGCCTCAGCCAATAGGTCTGCGTGATTGACAACCAAAGATGTGCTTCTCACTGTCTCCTAAGTTCACATTTTTCATTTTAGCTGAGTACAGGCACAGCTCAGAGATACTGTGGGTTCAGTTCCAGACCACTACAATAAGGTGAATATCATAATAAAGCAAGTCATGTGAATTTCTTGGTTTCCCAGTACATTTAAAAGTTTACACTGTGCTGTAGTCTGGTAAGTGTGCAATAGCATTATGTCTACAAAGACACTGCACATACCTTAATTAAAAATTACTTTATTGCTAAAAAATGCTGACCCTCCCCCTGCTGCCATTTTATCTCAACCCCTTGGTCCCTCACACCCATGCATTCAAGAGATTTGATTTCCTGGACATTCGAACTTTCTCCCAGGGTGTCGGTATTATGCCCTCCCAGACTCGGGGGGCAGTCTCAACCCAGAATGCATACTTATCAATAGCACTGATACTTTTCTCTTTCAAAATGTATCCCTTCTTTTTGAAATATTAACAAGGAGGAGCAGGAACCTACATTAATCACTTTATCAAGTAGTGCACTTTTGTATGAAGTATTTTTATATGTGAATTTTTAGGAAAGTCTATAAATGATGCCCTTTTCAATCCCTGATAACTTTCTTGCTTTGACGTCAGCTTTGTCTGAAATTAACATAATTGCTCCTGCTTTCTTTTTGTTTTGTTTTGTTTTTTGTACTTTTAAAAAAAATTTAAGCCTTTTTTTTTTGTTTTTGGGTTTTTTTGTTGTTGTTTTTGCTTCTTTTTTCTTTTTTTCTCCTGCTTTCTTTTGATTGGCATTAGCATGGTATATTTTTCTCCATCCATTATTTTTAATCTATATGTGTCTTGGTATTGAAAGTGCATTTTTCAAAGAAAGAAATAAAGAAAAAGACAAATGAACATAAATACAAAACAGAAACAGAGTCATAGGTACAGAACACAAACTTGCGGTTGCCAGAGGGGAGGGGGGTGGGAAGGGAGAGACTGAGAGTTCGAAATTTGTAGATACTGACAAGCATATGTGGAATAGATAAACAAGATTATACTGTACAGCACAGGGAAATATATACGAGATCTTCTGGTAGCTCACGGCAAAAAAGAATGCAACAATGAATGTATGTATGATCATGTATAACTGAA